CCGGAACAGCCGGGGAACCTTGGATAAACGGAAACTCGTCGGCCGATTCGTTCGCTGTGCCGTTTCTACGTGAGAAAAAAAAAAATGAAAGAAAAACGCGTTCACTGGAATCGCGACTAAGAGGTTCCTCGTGTTTTCCTCGTGTACCTTTCGGGACTTCCCTTGTACGTCATCGCGACTGCCCTTCGAACTTTCGAGGAGATTCGGACCGTCGATAGTTGGAGTTACGACAACGGAAAAGAGTCGAATGCTATCGGGGATAGTCTCTCGAGTGCACTCGAGAGAAACTGGAATCTATTATTCGAGGAAGGGTAGTTAAGAATTTTATAGGGCTCTAATAAAATCGGAGTTACGTTTTTCGTCTCTTCTCGAACGAACCTTCGCGTATTTGTCTTATTTCGCAATTTCTGTGTCGTGAAAATTACCGTAATTCAAGTTTCCGGTGGAATTACGGAAGTTGCCTCGAATGTCGAAGTGTCCGAAACGATCAGCGGGTGCAAGGACGAGTAAAGGGATGATTCGTAACGAGAATCACCTCTTCTCTCGTATTATTGGATCTAGTTGAACTTAATAATACCAAGTACCGAGACATTTTCATTAGCTCTCCAAGGCGATCGTTTCACTTTGACATTCCTGAATCTCTATATACATTATTCAGTAGCCGGACAAATTATGTTGCCTAGCTTGTGGTCAATTAACGGCACCCGATAGGTTTATTACGTGATTCAGTGACGTGTTCCACATCATCTTGCGGCCTCACACGCTTCGGAGTACTTGGAAGGCTTGAGTTCGTTGCTCGTAATACTGTTCAGGGAATTTCACAGAATTTCGATGATAATAGCAATACTTGAACCCAGTGAAACGATAAAATCATCGAAATTATCTACTCAAATTTCCATTAGTCTCGATAAAGTACAAGCATTCTTGTAATCTACCGAGTCATTTCGTTAATTGACAATTCAGTTTAATTAAATTTCGCAAGAAGTGATTTATCGGTAATATTAAAACGAGATTCAGTCGTGTTTCCGTTCAATTTATCACGATTCCATGGTAAACACTGTGTATTCTACTAATTCATTCCATAAATGGACAATTTAGTCGAATTAAATTTCGCAAGAAATGATTTATCGGTAATATTAAAATGAGATTAAGTCATGTTTCTTATTCAATTTACCGCGATCCCATGGTAAACACTATTTTTCACGGTTCTCGATGCCGTGGGACACCGGTGCACGATGGTTCTTCGCAGGCTACTAGCCCCAGAGCCCCTTAATTTTTATTCCCCTCGATTTCTACGTCTTTCTTCTCGTCTACTCCGCTCAAGGCATCTCGACGGTGTATCCTTGGGCAAATTTATGCTTCTTCAGATTACGGATAATAATGGTCACCCTTGTGCCGTGGCTGGGCGAGCTCCTCTTAACAATTTGCCAGCTAGAATTACGACCGACTTCCCCCCGCAGCGTTTTATCGCTACGATATGTCTGCCACGTTGCACCTAGTCATTGGCATGCGATATCGCGCGATTTCGAGCTCGATCCAACAGTTTTCGCGAAAATTTTCCACCCCGGAATCTCCTGGGAAACTATAATTTTCCGCGTGTCTTCTACACACTACCGTTCGAAATTTTTCCATGGAATAACGAATTTTTCTTTCCCTCGATATTTTCCTTCGACTTTTAATTGAAATTCGTGTTGCACGATCGTGAACATCGGTTGTCCATCGTAAAGTGTCCCGATTTTATCGAGAATCGCAACCTTGGTCAACATCCGCGAGAAGAATCGCGTGCTTTTGGCAAACGCACTGGACTTTAAAATGAAGAGCACGCCTGTGGCGTCGCGATATTGAATCCTTGGACGAGAGGGGAGATTTACGAGGTTTGCGAAGAAAGTAGGACGAATTTAGTTTCGAAAATGTTCTCTTCTCTCTTTCGGATCGGCGTAAATCTCTCGCGGACAAAGAACTTGGACGTTTTTGGGATGTCAAGTTGGTGCTTCGGGAACGAGGAAGTGATAAAATGGCGATAACGAGACGCGAGAAGCCTGTAATTTTCTTCCACCGGTTGCTACTTTTTCAACTTGGAGGATTCTCGAAAGACGACGTACTTCACTGGTCCACCTGTGTTCATGGAAGTCTGAAAGAGAAGCAAAAAGCAGCGAAATGAACTTCACCGATGTCCCGTGTTTTGACGACGAGAGTTCAACGATGGAAGAAAGCAGAGAGAAAGAAGGGTAGAGAGATACGTGGCGGGGAAGGCGTGTGTAACCACACTGAATAAATATAATCGTCGAAGGTAAACCGGCTGGAAGGAAGAAACGAGACGCGAGAGAGAGAGAGAGAGAGAAGGTTGGGTACAATGGGTTCCGAAAATAAAGCATGATCGATGAAACTGAAACAGGATTTACCCTGTCGATTCGAGGACACTTGTCGTGGGTAAACACTCGTCTCGCGTTTTTCTCAGTCCGCGTTACGAAATGTTTTTCCAAGATAACGCGATTCCTCCCTTTACACTTTCAGCCCTCGCGATTCCTCAGGGACCAACTCTATGCACAACGAAACCGACGATGACGTCTGTGTGTGTCAAGAAACGCGAGAAAACAGGCGCATTCTTTTTTTTTTAAACGCGACTAATTCCCCTATCGCGAGTTTCACGCACAGTGCAGAATAATGGTGTCACTCTTACGCTGTTAGGTGACGTTTTTTCGCGGGAAAATACCGCGCGGTGAATACACAAGAAATCTCACGAAGGAACGAGGAGGAGATCTTCTCGTTTATGGTAGCAATTACACTCGCGCCCCCGAGACGACCTCGTGGTCTGTCCCTTTCCTCTCTCTCTCTCTCTCTCTCGCGCGCGCGCGCGTTCAGAAACGCCTCGAACCGCGTCGTGGCGTGCAGTTAAGGCCGTATCGATGTCAAGATTGTGCCGCAGCGGCCGTCCCTGAAGAGCCATGGACGCCCGTGACATTGTCGCGTCACGCGCGCAAGGACTGTACGCCGCGATTGACCAAGGGAAACGTCGAAACGTACGTACATCCGGTGAACGTTTTCCACGTGGACAAAAATGTCGTCCGGTTTTTTCATGGAGCAAAATGGAGTCGCGTGCCGCTATCTGATGACCCTCTTGCTTTGTACGAGCGAGAGAGAACGGTCGATAGGCTGTTTCGTGATGTTTTCGCGTGGCCTCTCTTGGCGATCTTTTTCTGCTCGCAGATAGAAGGCTTCGCGGATTTCTTCGCTCGCTTCTGCAAAAATGCGATCGTATGAATTTTTCTTAGAAGATTTCCAGGTTGTCTTTAGACAAGGATCGCGTTAGAAAGTCACAGCGGTTCTGCGACGAAGTGCATTCAATGTCGCGTTTATTTTCGAGCACAGGGTGTATTTTTACATATTTTATCCGCTCTTTCTACACGAGTGACTCTTTAGGGAGAGCGGAATTTCATATCCAAGCTCGATTCCCTTGCATTAACTCCTCGTACCTAACATTCTTACCCCCTGTTTAATCGCAGTTCGGTGAAAAGTGTCCGACACCGTGAACTTAAACCAACTCGGAACAAAAACCGTCGAAACGTATTCCACCGCAAGGTTCTCTTTGTTCCTTAATTAAACGACAAACACCTCTCGTCGTTTCCATCCAAAAAAAAAAAAAAAACACGCATCTAGACTTCGCAAGCGTTTGTTCGAGAAGCTCCACAGCTCGGAACTTCCATCGGAGGAAAAACATCCACGGTTTCCCTATTGATACCAAATTCGAAACCGCCGCGTGATTTACGATCGCGCTGTCCCGTCGATAGTCGCAATTAAAAGGGTCGCTAATGAACGTAGAACCGCGACAGCGGTTGCGGGGGAAACGGAAAGGCAATGGTATGCGATCGAGAGTCTTGAGGAAGAAGGGGCGGAGGAGGAGGAGGCCGCGTGTGTCGCGCGTTCGTTGGTGCGCGCCGAAGGAGAGAGTGAACTGAATGAAAGGGAGCTTGGTGAAATAGAAAGAGAGAGAGAATGGGAGGAGAAGGATGAAGCCGCGAAGGATAGCCGCGGGAAGGAGAAAGGTGGACGTCGTGAACGGAGACAGACGTAGAGGATGGTCTGAGAGCGAAAGAAGGAAAGGGAGAGGAGTGGTTCACCTGCATTGCTAGCATTGCGCCGGCTCAAGGCCAGAGAGTCTGCGAGACCGAGGACCAGACCGGGTCGGGACCTCCTTCCTTCCAGTTTCCTGCACCCTGCACACACTCGCTCTCTCTCAGTCTCTCCCTCCATCTATCTTCACGTCGTTCTTCCTTCTCCGCGGCATCCCACCGCTTCTTCCAGCTTCTCCTTTTTCGTACCGTGCCGATCTCTCTACGTACGTGCGCTGTCTGTTGTTCCTCGCGTACAGACAATTGCGTCATGACAAAGGCTCTCTGGCTGCTCGTGGTTCACCCACCGATCGGTCGTGGAACTTGCCTTCTTCTTCGAAGGACTCCATTTTTTCGATACTCCGGATGGTTCGCGGAAAGGACGGGGGAGATGGTTCTGCTAGCGTATATGGTTTTGCGAACCGTGCTTTGCAGAACCATCGTACTGTGATAGTTGTTTTGCTGCGTACACGTGGCGAGACTTTTGTTAAGGACGAGAAATCTAGACGAGGTTGTAAGGCTCTGCTTCGGTTATTAACGCACCGCGTATGTTCAGCTCCTTACGACCGTTTAGGGAAACAGGGGTAATTATATGGGACGATTGTATCGGAGATTTTAAGGTAACGAATGTATTTGCCATGATTAGAACTGAATAACAAGTGGTTCTAGAGAATGCCGGAGACTTCGAAAGTTGATTGTCTAAGACGTTGCTCTGGTCCTTAGAGCCGGACGAATGAAAATGCCCGATTGTATTCAACGTTTCCGTACGAGATCGCATTCCTATCGTGCAACGTCAGACCGAAGAGTAAAAAACTACCCCCCCCCCCCCCCCCCCTGAACTGGCCTGAAGGAAAATTGTATCTAAACGGTCGTTCTCTGTTCTGATTACAGGTTGTAAAATCAAAGCACTCCGAGCGAAGACCAACACTTACATCAAGACCCCTGTCCGCGGGGAGGAGCCGGTGTTCGTGGTAACTGGCCGCAAGGAGGACGTGGCCCGTGCGAAGCGCGAGATCCTCTCCGCCGCGGAGCACTTCTCTCAGATCCGCGCGTCACGCAAGAGCTCGTTGGGCGCGCTGTTGGGTGCACCTCCTGGACCCCCAGCATCGGTGCCTGGCCACGTGACGATTCAGGTACGAGTCCCGTACAGAGTAGTGGGCCTGGTGGTAGGACCGAAGGGAGCGACTATCAAAAGAATCCAACATCAGACGCACACCTACATAGTGACACCGAGTCGCGACAAAGAGCCTGTTTTCGAGGTGACTGGACTACCGGAGAGCGTGGAAGCAGCGAGACGTGAGATCGAGGCGCATATAGCCCTACGAACTGGGACAGGAACAAGCCTCGACGATGCCGAGCTGTTGAGCGTGCTGTGTCGCGGTGGTCTAGGCTCGATTCTAGGCTGCCTGGACGCACCAGGCTCGAACGGCTCCAACGGATCGAGCGGTGCGTTCTCCAGCAGCGGTAGTTGCAGCAGCTCCTCCAGTAGTTCCGGTGCACCTGGATTGAACGATCTCGTCGCTATTTGGGGCGCTGGAATGGAGAGGGACGAGGGTCTAGGCGAGTCACCGTCTTTCGAGTCACAGACAGTGTCCGCTTCGTCTATCTGGTCGTTCCCCGGTGTCGCGCTACCCTCGAGGCCGTCACCGCCAGCATCAGCCAGTCCTACGTCACCCACGGACTCGCTGTTAGGAAGCGGACGACGGGAATGCGTGGTCTGCGGCGACAAGGAGGTCACCGCTGCCCTCGTGCCATGCGGACACAATCACTTCTGCCTGGACTGCGGGAACCGGGTCTGCGAGAGCTCCGATCCTAGCTGCCCGGTTTGCTCCAGGCCCGTGTTACAGGCCCTTCGTATCTTCTCTTAAGCACCGACACGAGGAGCCACGACGACACACCACGAGAGAGAGACAGATCATCCTTCATCGAGGCTCCACTCGCGTCGCCACCACCTGGTACAGCGGCTGTATACCGATTCTCAACCGATTCACCATGTTAATATCTGCTCTTCAGGACAACCGTTTTTATGGCGGCTCATCCAGGAACGACGGCGAAGGGAGAAAGCCCACAGCATCACCAACACCACCACCACCACCACCACAATCCCAAAACCCCGAATTTTCCGTATAATATGAAGCTCTCGTGTCCCCCGTGCGTTTATGGCCGCGGTGCGCGCGAATATTTCCGCGGCGACGACGATGTCGGGGGAGCGGACGCGCACAATGTCTCAATTCCACTTGCTGCCAATAATTAACCTCTTCTTACGCGCCGGGAATGCCCCGATACGAGAGAATAATAAATGCTAACTTGTGGCGTCGTTCCCGCCGACCGGATACAACGAAGTCAGCTTTTAAGTTCTACGTGAATATATTAGAACGTGAGAGAGAGAGAGAGAGAGAGAGAGAGAGAGAGAGAGAGGGAGTGTGAGAGAGAGAGAGAGAGATAAGAAAAAAACAGAATAACATGAAAATCATACTCGCTCATTCATTGTCATCTCGTTTTTTTCATACTTCAACCCTTGATAATGTATTTACGTAGGTAGATTGGGCTCGCAGGTTTATCACACGCGTAAACACCGATCGTACACATCCTCGGGGATGAATGGATGTGTCAGAGCTATCACGTGATAGAAAGACAAAGAAAGAGAGAGCAATGAGAGAGAGAGAGAGAGAGAGAGAGAGAGAGAGAGAGAGAGACAGACAGAGCGTCACGTTCATGTACACTCTATGTTCGTATCAGGGTGACGAGAAACAGTATATATGCTGTGCTGTGTAACGTGGGAGAAGGATTCGTTTGGCTTTGCCGTTTATGAGGTTGCCTTCGAACTATCGGGAAAAAGTTTGACGCGCACGGATCGATACCTTCGTAGTAGCGAGACTGTTGACCACCGAGACGCTACTCTTTGCTTGAACAGAGGAGAGAGAGAAAGAGAGAACGAATTATGCTTGTCGAAGGTAGTGGTTCTCGTGTTATCGATTGCAATAACGTTTGATTGCAATAACATTCCATTTCGCTGATTGTACTCATCATGATTGTATTTTCGTATTTTTCTACAAATTCTTCTTTGGGAAAATCGAAGGCAGTCTATGACAATGGAATGGATGAAAATTGATCGTTATCGACTTTTATATCGATAAGATATTTTTTTATTAGACGTGTAGTAGAACGATGTTTTCCTTCTTTTCTTTTTTTCGTTTTTTTTTTTTTTCTTTTATGATTGACAATCCACCGTGTTAAGAGATCAGCGCTCTTTAACACGGCTACGAGAACGATTAATAGGTTTCTTTTTTAATTTTTTAACTATTTTTTATCCTTCTTTCACTGCACCTATATCTCGGAACGCACCGTTCGAGAGGGTCGAGGCTGTGATTTTTATTACGCAATTCTACCGCGAAACATTATACGAAATACTATATATATATTATATATATCAAAGGTGCTTGCAAAACACTGATAAATAAAAATTTCTATGAGCTCTATATATATTTTTATTTAGAAAGCGTACCAATCATCGTAAACGTCCCATTTATCGTTCTGAACGTTTAATGAGAATTACCAGCCTCGACTTTCCACGGTTATTAAAGAACCGCTGTTTCGATGGTCAGAAGAGAGGCGCAGTTGCAGTAGAGTTCATTCGCTCTCTCGATCGTTACGCTCTTTCGCGTCTCCCGCGATCACGTGACCGCAGGCACAAAGATGGCGGCGCACGGACAGCTGATCTCGCGTCCGTACATATGACGAGAAAGCTTGAAAAGCGATGCGTGGAGAACGAGAGAAACAAACAAACTATCGTTGCTCTTCCTTCTCGTGAACGAACAAAAAGAAAAAAGAAAACCAAAAAAACGAACAAAATATGAATCTCAGTGAGCATACTTAAGAATGTTTTCGTACCTTTTGTAAAGTCTCGACGTTAAATCAATCGTGTATTAAAGGTCCGGCGTCACGTGATCGCAGGATGTGTGCTCGGTGATGATAATCAATCAAACGAGATACGAGCCGAGAACACACAATGTAGAGAGGGAAAAAATAGTGCGACTGAGGAAGGGCTCGTGCATCCTCCGATAGACAAGATTCCAAAGTTTCTTCACCGAATAATTTTTAAAACGAGCTAACAATGATAATTGCGTTTGCGAAAAAAGAGTGGAACCATCTCTCGAATACAACTTTATTCTTCTCTATATCACTCTTTTTAATCTCATGACAAGTGAAAACTTTCCACGGAACCGACTCTATCGGCCGATGTATTGACACGACAGACTTCCAATTAAAAACCTGCGAGCTGTCGCACACATAATCGCAGCGAACGATTACTGATAAAAGTTGCCCACACACATACACACACGAACATACACACACTTTACGTAACTTTAACTGAATAACACGTTCACATACAGACATGTACATGGATATACATATGTGCATATATACATATATGCATATGTATACATATGTACACATACACACATAATACACAGTACAGGCAAAAACAGGCCGATCTCATCATTTACAGGCACACACGTCGCACGAGAGAAGAGAAATGAAAAAGAAAAAAAAAAGAAAAAAGAAAAAATATAACAAGGCGAGTGGTCACGTGTCCCTCGATCTGTCGCGAAACTACTTAGATGATAGTATTATTAAAGAGAGAAAGAAAAAAAAAACAAAGAAACAAACGGCGTGCCCGTTCCACCCAGCCTCCCTCGCTAACTAGAGTATTATCTTACCTTTATATAAGCGACATAGC